TCACTTGAGGTTGGTCATGGAGCATCCACGACGGGCCGAATTTCAAAAGCAGCGGGAGCGATCGGTGAAGCTTGTGAAGAAGGTGGTGTGGAAAAAAATGCTCTGGGGGCGATGGGTTCAAGATGGTTCAAGGCATGAGGGAAACGTGGATGGACGGCTTGCTTCTTGGATTTCTTGGACTGCCCACCACCCGATTGACAATTCCAAGATCAAGGAACAGCCCTAAGCTGCGCATGTTGGCGCCAAGGCCTGAAACAATGTGGATTTTACTCCTAACGGGCACATTTCTGGACAGCCCTTCAGTTGGCGGCCCAGGTTCAAAATCAGTCGGCGATTTCAGAACACAATTTTTGACGGGAATTCAATGATGTTTATTAGGATTTTGTGGGGCTCAGATGTGATTCAACACAATACCATGACTGTTACGTAGCTCGAGGTTTGAACACTATTACACTATAGGTAGCACGAGGAAAGAATGCTAGATCCTGGGACCACTAGTTGTCAAGAGTAGTAACGAGTAGTATGTGTCCAGTCCGTCCAGTCCTACTTTTCTTTCAATGACTGTTTCGTGGGGATTACATCCGCAGATGTCTAAGGTTGCGCTGAACGAGGTCTGGGCCCCCAGGATCGTGGCAAAATCATGCAAATGGCCATGGGATGCCATTGCCTGATCAAATGAACAGCAATTCCCTTGAGAACTGGCACCATTCGTAGCTTATGGGTGAATTTCAGTCAAAAGCTAACCACCACAGATATGGGCATGTGAAAACCCTCCAAGCTTTCAAACTATATAATTTGCCTACTGTGGCTATTCACCTTTCATGTCATGACTAGCATTCCTTCCCAAGAAATGCATCACAATTGTGATTCTTTTCCTCACATCCTGGTCTTTGTGGCAGTATCGAAAAAATCGCCTCTGACGAAGGTTAGAGCTACATCCGGCTGGTTGGCAGGGCTATTCCTGGTCTTTATCTTCCTTAGCCACATGATGGTGAGCCTTGGCCTGGGTGGCCGCTGGCTCTTGCATGCACAACAAACTACCCAACAAAGTAGAGAGATAGAAATAGTTTCAACTGAGAGGCTGTCCGTCACAAGACAACAAGATCTAACAGGATATATAATGTATAATTACACGAATTTGCATAATGTATTTCTAATTCCCTTTTGATACTGGAAAGACAGAAGGACTGGAATCCAAAAGACTCTGCAAGTGACACACGTTGATTCGAAGCCAGGGAAAAGTACCTACAACCAGAACTGCAGAAGTAGAATCATGCAAATACGCGGCGAAACAGGAAATTGTATCCTGAAAGACACCCACAAGAGACAGGAATTTGACACAATTTGGCTGGGAAGGCAATATTTCAGAGTTGCAGAGTTCTTTCGTCATTGCGGAAAGGCACTGCCTTGATGACTTTGCAGGTGCTCAACATGCTCATCGGAATCCTTTGCGATGTTGTTCACCAGGCTTGAGCAGGGATGGTCTACGTTCTCGGCTGCTTGTGATTGCGACAAGCTAGCCAGACCATGACAGACCGGTGTGTGACATGCAGCAATCAATGCATGTCAAATGCATGACAGATTGTCATGAAACATGTGCATGACCGGATGATACTGATAGTCTCAAGGCTCCCTCCTCCAGGCAGTCTCGAGGGAGCAAAAGTTGTCCGATCCTGCCGCTTGCAAAGACCTCTTGGCTCAAGACAAAGATCCACTTGCACTTCGTTGCAAACATGCCAGACATGCCATCGAAATCCGTAAGCCTCCGTGCGTTGAACCTTGAGCCCCCCAGTGGGCACCTGCTGGCCCGACTGCGCACAAGGAGCCTTTGGGCGGGCATGAAAAGGTCAATGTTAGCACATTTGCCATCAACGGTCACTTTTGACTGGCATGATTCGGCATGATCTTTCTGTAGGCATGGATTTGGCCATTTCGAAAGTTTTTTGCCACTGCTAGTGGCTTACCCGACGTACCGATTTTCCTCCACATATGCATTTGCCAGGACCATCATGTCTGCAGATGAAATCCAACCAATTCAGCGCCAAGTGCAACGGGTGGCTGTGCAAGTGGAAGATGTAAAGAGTCAGATGCCTGAGCAGCCTAGGGATGCCTGAGTCTTAGGATACCCTAGAATCGTCCTGTTTCAAAACGGGCTTGGCTGGCACTTCTAGTGAATTCTAGTGGCCTGCTTGAGTCGATGTGAACGATGTGAACGATGTGAGGGTATTGACAGAGGCACTGTGAGCAAATTTGCTCAGGTGGGGTTCAGTTTTCCTAGGCCTTAGGCTCGACCGAGCCTTCGTTGGTGTGACTGGACCTAACTTTAAGATATGGGCTGTGAGCTGCTTCGCTGATGCCGTTTGTGTAGCTCTGCTAAGCTCTAGTACTGTTAGCATTGTTAGCCTGGTGAATAGGAGCCAAAATCCAATCCAACGTGGTTCCAACGTGCACTAGCATGAGTTGGAGGCTCCTATCCCAAAGGTGATTTGTACAGGACTGAGTTCAGACAGATTGGTCAAACGTATTCCGTCCCTTCTTCATGGGGAGTTTGAGTGGCAAAGTGGCTACGTGGTTTTCCTTTCCCTAGCACAAGCCAAGACGAGTTGCAATGTTGTATATGTTGTGGACTTCGCAACATTGGACATTGAGTCGTTGTGTTGCCTCGGTGCTTGGGTTGACCCCAAGTTGCCAGATCCAACGCATCCACTGCCACGGGGGACGTACCTCTTGAACCTAGGAGTTCAAGAATACAGCCCAAAGTAAAGATTCTATGTAAAGAGTCAGATGCCTGAGCAGCCTAGGGATGCCTGAGTCTTAGGATACCCTAGAATCGTCCTGTTTCAAAACGGGCTTGGCTGGCACTTCTAGTGAATTCTAGTGGCCTGCTTGAGTCGATGTGAACGATGTGAACGATGTGAGGGTATTGACAGAGGCACTGTGAGCAAATTTGCTCAGGTGGGGTTCAGTTTTCCTAGGCCTTAGGCTCGACCGAGCCTTCGTTGGTGTGACTGGACCTAACTTTAAGATATGGGCTGTGAGCTGCTTCGCTGATGCCGTTTGTGTAGCTCTGCTAAGCTCTAGTACTGTTAGCATTGTTAGCCTGGTGAATAGGAGCCAAAGTCCAATCCAACGTGGTTCCAACGTGCACTAGCATGAGTTGGAGGCTCCTATCCCAAAGGTGATTTGTACAGGACTGAATTCAGACAGATTGGTCAAACGTATTCCGTCCCTTCTTCATGGGGAGTTTGAGTGGCAAAGTGGCTACGTGGTTTTCCTTTCCCTAGCACAAGCCAAGACGAGTTGCAATGTTGTATATGTTGTGGACTTCGCAACATTGGACATTGAGTCGTTGTGTTGCCTCGGTGCTTGGGTTGACCCCAAGTTGCCAGATCCAACGCATCCACTGCCACGGGGGACGTACCTCTTGAACCTAGGAGTTCAAGAATACAGCCCAAAGTAAAGATTGTATAAGATTCTCATATTCCAAAAATTCCAAATTTCCGAAGGGACTTTTGGGTGTAAACCCGCTTACCCATTGAAAGGCATCTTCATGAGGAGTGCTTTTGTAGTGGCCGCAGTGGCAGCAGTTATTTTGACACTACAAATGCCCAGCTGAAGTCCGCAAGTCCCAAAAAGCTGCTGAGTGCTGGCATGTGGCCAGTGATTGGGACACCTGATTGAAACAAGAGTGGGACTACCAGTGGTGAGTAATCTAGTAATCTGAGTAAGAAAGAACAAACTCCATCTTCGGTGCAAACCATCTATAGTGCATTTCATATCAACACAGCAGTCGGAGTTGTGTGTCTTTTTTGGAATCCCTTGGCTTGCCGCAATTTTCAATGTTCCACCCATATGTCATAGCTTGAAAAGCACCAGGTGGCCATCAACGAGAAGGAAGAGGCAAAGTTGCACTGCTTGGGGAGGGGTGGGAGTGAATGGGTCATCTTGGAAGCTGAAGAGCCATATCAAGTTTCGAGATGTTTTTCCTGCGCACACCGCACACCTGTCTGATTGCTGGACTTCTAAAGATTCTAAAGTTGAGGAAACTTGATAGCATTTCATTGGGCATTCACTGGACGCCAAAAGTAGAGTACTTTGATGATCTTTGATAAACTTTGGATCCAACATGCATTTTTTTACAAACAGTTTCCCTACTGGCCTTTTGTATCCTTTTGTACTCATGGCATCATGGCCATGCCGCTGCCACTAGCTCAGATGAAGCTGAAATTGTCAATGGCACATGCAAAAGATCATAAAAGACATGAAGTTTCATGAAATTTCCAAGCTTTTATAATCTTGATAATAGGCTGGTTGATGTTGAAGCTACTGTACATTCTTACCACGGATCAAGCTAGATCAAGAATGTACTGGAAGACACATGTCATTGAGAAGTTGCACCCTTTCCTTTCAAATTGATTTGCAGGAAGCTTGCAATAGCCGAATATGCTTTTTGAATGTCATTTTGTCAGACTCGACACATGAAATTTGATTCAACTAGACAGCCACAATCAGAGATTGGATTCCCTTGACATAGACAAATTGAATCCTTGCCCCTTGAGCTTCGCCGGGTTCCTCAGAGCAGGGCGCAGAAACAGGGACAAAGTTGTTTGGGTAGGCATGCAGGTGATTTCTTTTTCTGGCAAAGAAGCTTCGACACTCAAGATTGTATTAGACTAGGGTTGAAAGACAAAGCCGCAGTATGGGCTGCCACCTTCACAGACATTCTTGAGGAAGACAAGGTAATGCGCCGATTCTAGCAATTGAGAAGTTTCGAGAAATTTCAGTGAAAGATGTGAAAGCGGGTGACATGTTTTTTTATTCTCGTGATTTTACCATGACCAGACAGGAGACGATTTGGAGAGGGGACTATGTCTGGAGGCTTGAGCAAGAAGTTCAGAGCGCAATGGTTCCATAGCCTTGCACTGGGGGAGAGTTCCATACCCGCACCTTGCAATCAGGCTATTCTGCAGACAAAAAGGCCAAGGTGCGGAAATTTCCAGTCGGAGCCAGTCGGAGCCTGTCGTAAGGGCTGGAGGTTGGAAGTGCTCACAACGCTGAACTTTCCGGCTGTGCAAGCTGTTTCTGATATTTTCTTCTTGTTTCTCGGTAGGTGGTGCTGATCAATGCAGAGAGACTGGACTTTGATCACAAGCTGGATCTTTCGAAGCTCTCAGCCATTGCAGACACTGTGAACAAAAATGATCAAAAGCAGTGCTTGAAACATCTTGAAATAGGGTCTGTGAGATCTGATGTTTGGAACATGTTGTTGAAGAATTTGGATCGCATATATGAGAGAGATCAGCATCAAATTGTGTCCCACCTCCTGATTTCTTTTCTTTTGAAGCCGATTTTGCTATCGAAATCATTCGAAGGAGGAAGTGAAAACTGAGGACGTGACTCGTTATGAGTCTGATGCAACACCAGAAGAGATTATCGAGAGAGTGCCGCTTAGAAAGCAAGAGTTTGTGCTTGACAGATTGTCAAACACGAATATCGCCGGTACTCAGGATGCAGTGTTGATGGTTTCATTTGTTTGAAGTTATTCTTTTTTTTTGTGTGTGTCATTTGTTTGCCTCACTGCAATGACTGTGAAGCAATATGAAGTGCATTCTCGGAAGATTTGCGTGAAAAAAAACGGATCCTTGACACCCGATACTTGGTTTGTTTGACTTTCCTTTTCCGAGGCAAGGTCAGGATATCGTCATCTCCAAGGACATGATATGAAGGGTCTTTGATGGCCGTGTCCAGACTCAGTAATTACCTCTGTGGCAAAGCATGCGCTGACACTTCTTGCTCTATATTCCAAGCAGTATGCCATCCATCTTGCACCACTTAACCGTTTAACATCGTTTAACCAGATATCCCAGGAGATTCCAGTCCCGGGCCACATCATTGCAAAGTTTCCTCCTTCAGTTCGTCTAATCCAGGAGGCACGGTGGCGCGGATTGCGTTAATTTCACTGCCTGATGATGCTGCGATTGAAAGAGCATGTCCGCAATATCGATCGCAAAGTTGTCCATACTGAAAACACGAACGTGACATCATTGGATGTGCTGATGTATTACAGAAAAAGAAGAGCGAACAATAGTAACGGTATGCCACGACCTGCCATGTCCCGTGTCGTGACGTCATGATGAAATAGAATGCAATACGCTACGACTGAATGAAATGAACGGACTTTCTTTTAGGCATGAATTTGTTTCACCTCATCAAGTAAGTTTCGAGCCATGGCTTTTCTGATCTTTTCTGCAGGTCTTACATTTATTGAGGATAAACGATGCTCCCGGGTAATAGTAGTCCTTTCATTCGTCCATAATGTTCCATCAAGCAAAGTGGATTTGTTAGTAGATTTAACGGTTTAACATGGTTTAACGGTTTGGAATACGACTTCGAAATACTTCGAAACTGACTTGTTGGACAACACTGTCATAGCAACCCTGTTCCCTCGGCACCATCTCCCTGGATGAAGGCCGGCACCGGCTTCAACAATGTGGATTTGGCTGCAGCGAAGGCTCCGGGGCCGTGCTAAAGCTCGCAGCTAACTGTGACTAACCAATGCTAACCACACATTCGCATCAGGCGTTCACATGTAGCTCAGCGAATTTGTGGTGTATCAGTCTGTTTGTGTGTATGTGTGTGTGTGCGTGTGTGTGTATCTCCTGAAGTCATGTACGTATAGTATTGGCACATGACATTTGTGCATTGAATGGGCCTGTCTCGTTGAGTCATGTGGGTATTTTGTAAGTACTCATTCAGGCAGTGTTCAAACTCCTGTTGGTTGATTATTGTAGGGAATTATATTATCCCACATATTAGGATTTATCGCAATCACAATCACAACAATCTATTATGAGAAATCCTATATATTATAGAATGGGCTAGCGCCCAGGTGCCGCCGACCCCCCTCTATTTGGGGGGCACTGTGGGGAGAGAGAGAGAGAGAGACAGAGAGGGAGAGGGAGAGATGGATGGATGGATGGATGGATGGATGGATGGATGGATGGATGGATGGATGGATGGATGGATGGATGGATGGATGGATGGATGGATGGATGGATGGATGGATGGATGGATGGATGGATGGATGGATGGATGGATAGATAGATAGATAGATATATAGATAGAGGGAGAGAGAGATAGATCGATGGATAGATAGAGGGATAGAGAGAGAGAGAGATAGATTGATAGATAGGTAGATAGACAGTTAGATAAACAGGTGGATAGATCGATTGTTGGACAGATGGATAGATAGAGGGACAGAGAGAGAGAGAGAGAGAGAGGGAGAGAGAGAGAGAGAGATAGATGACAGATAGGTAGATAGACAGTTGGATAAACAGATGGATAGATCGATTGTTGGATAGATAGATAGTGGCATAGGAAGAAAGACGGATGGATTGATATATACCTTGAGTGTCAAGGACCCTCCGTTTTTAGGACTGTCATTGTAACCCCATGTTTTAGTCCTTTTGTGAGTTTGTGGGGTAACGTAATGAAAAAAAGGGTTTTGCACTTAGGCGATACATAATCGTAGATACACCGCACATATGTTCCCATATATAATCCACATATAACCCCAGATATCATCATATATAATCGGCATATTATATAAACCAGATATCGTCTACATATATAATCCACATATATAATTCACATAATGTACAAACCACATATTGTATAATCCATATAATCCAACTCACATAAATAATCCACATTTGGAGGGATCCACAGTGAAGATTAGGAATTCCCACTATCCCATTGATAAGTTTACGGTGTCCAGCGACTGCCATCCCACTGCACCTTATGGGCCGAACGCAAGCGGCGGCGATCGCAATGCGCCTTGGGGTCGTCGGCATGGTCAAATTCCCTTCGCTACCACACCCAATGGGTGTGGAGGGTTTTGGAGGGTGTCTGCTATGGAGGGTTTTGGAGTGGCCCTGGGGTGCCTGCTGGACAAGGTGTTTGGAGGGTTTGGACGGTTTTGGAGAGCGCCCGGAGGGTTTGGAGGGTTTTGGAGGGTTTGGAGGGTTTGGGGGTTTTGGAGGGTGTTTGGAGGGTTTGGAGGGTTTTGGAGCGTTTGGAGGTTTTGGAGCGTTTGGAGTGTTTGCGGGCTGGCAAACGGCAGCTTTGAAAGCCAATAGAAAGCCATTGCTGTGGCCTTGGCCCTGGGGTGCCTGATTGAGAAGTGGCCTTGGCCCTGGGGTGCCTGTTGGGGAAGGTGTTTGGAGGGTTTGGAGGGTTTTGGAGGGTTTGGAGGGTTTTGAAGGGGGCTGAGGGTTTGGAAGGTTTGGAGGGTTTGGAGGGTTTGGAGGGTTTTGGAGGGTGTTTGGAGGGTTTGGAGGATTTTGGAGCGTTTGGAGGGTTTTGGAGGGTTTGGAGTGTTTGCGGGCTGGCAAACGGCAGCTTTGAAAGCCCATAGAAAGCCATTGCTGTGGCCTTGGCCCTGGGGTGCCTGTTCGGGAAGTGGCCTTGGCCCTGGGGTGCCTGCTGGGGACGGTGTTTGGAAGGTTTGGAAGGTTTTGGAGGGTTTGGAGGGTTTGGAAGGTTTTGGCAGTTTGGAGCGTTTGCAGGCGGGCAAACGGCAGCTTTGAAAGCCCATAGAAAGCCATTGCTGTGGCCTTGGCCCTGGGGTGCCTGTTGGGGAAGTGGCCTTGGCCCTGGGGTACCTGCTGGACAAGGTGTTTGGAGCGTTTGGACGGTTTTGGAGAGCGCCCGGAGGGTTTGGAGGGTTTTGGAGGGTTTGGAGGGTTTGGAGGGTTTTGGAGGGTGTTTGGAGTGTTTGGAAGGTTTTGGAGCGTTTGGAGGGTTTTGGAGCGTTTGGAGTGTTTGCGGGCTGTTGGGGAAGGTGTTTGGAGGGTTTTGGAGGGTTTGGAGGGTTTTGAAGGGGGTTGAGGGTTTGGAAGGTTTTGGAGGGTTTGGAGGGTTTGGAGGGTTTTGGAGGGTGTTTGGAGGGTTTGGAGGATTTTGGAGCGTTTGGAGGGTTTTGGAGGGTTTGGAGTGTTTGCGGGCTGGCAAACGGCAAAACGGCAGCTTTGAAAGCCAATAGAAAGCCATTGCTGTGGCCTTGGCCCTGGGGTGCCTGTTCGGGAAGTGGCCTTGACCCTGGGGTGCCTGCTGGGGACAATGTTTGGAGGGTTTGGAAGGTTTTGGAGGGTTTGGAGGGTTTGGAAGGTTTTGGCAGTTTGAAAGCCTATAGAAAGCCATTGCTGTGGCCTTGGCCCTGGGGTGCCTGTTGGGGAAGTGGCCTTGGCCCTGGGGTGGCTGAAGGTGTTTGGAGGGTTTGGACGGTTTTGGAGAGCGCCCGGAGGGTTTGGAGGGTTTTGGAGGGTTTGGAGGGTTTGGATGGTTTTGGAGGGTGTTTGGAGTGTTTGGAGGGTTTTGGAGCGTTTGGAGGTTTTGGAGCGTTTGGAGTGTTTGCGGGCTGGCAAACGGCAGCTTTGAAAGCCAATAGAAAGCCATTGCTGTGGCCTTGGCCCTGGGGTGCCTGATTGAGAAGTGGCCTTGGCCCTGGAGTGCCTGTTGGGGAAGGTGTTTGGAGGGTTTGCAGGGTTTTGGAGGGTTTGGAGGGTTTTGAAGGGGGTTGAGGGTTTGGAAGGTTTTGGAGGGTTTGGAGGGTTTGGAGGGTTTTGGAGGGTGTTTGGAGGGTTTGGAGGATTTTGGAGCGTTTGGAGCGTTTGGATGGTTTTGGAGGGTTTGGAGTGTTTGCGGGCTGGCAAACGGCAGCTTTGAAAGCCCATAGAAAGCCATTGCTGTGGCCTTGGCCCTGGGGTGCCTGTTCGGGAAGTGGCCTTGGCCCTGGGGTGCTGGTGGGGACGGTGTTTGGAGGGTTTGGAAGGTTTTGGAGGGTTTGGAGGGTTTGGAAAGTTTTGGCAGTTTGGAGCGTTTGTAGGCGGGCAAACGGCAGCTTTGAAAGCCCATAGAAAGCCATTGCTGTTGCCTTGGCCCTGGGGTGCCTGTTGGGGAAGTGGCCTTGGCCCTGGGGTGCCTGCTGGACAAGGTGTTTGGAGGGTTTGGTTGGTTTTGGAGAGCGCCCGGAGGGTTTGGAGGGTTTTGGAGTGGCCCTGGGGTGCCTGCTGGACAAGGTGTTTGGAGGGTTTGGACGGTTTTGGAGAGCGCCCGGAGGGTTTGGAGGGTTTTGGAGGGTTTTGGAGGGTTTTGGAGGGTTTGGAGGGTTTGGGGGTTTTGGAGGGTGTTTGGAGGGTTTGGAGGGTTTTGGAGCGTTTGGACGGCAGCTTTGAAAGCCAATAGAAAGCCATTGCTGTGGCCTTGGCCCTGGGGTGCCTGATTGAGAAGTGGCCTTGGCCCTGGGGTGCCTGTTGGGGAAGGTGTTTGGAGGGTTTGGAGGGTTTTGGAGGGTTTGGAGGGTTTTGAAGGGGGTTGAGGGTTTGGAAGGTTTTGGAGGGTTTGGAGGGTTTGGAGGATTTTGGAGCGTTTGGAGGGTTTTGGAGGGTTTGGAGTGTTTGCGGGCTGGCAAACGGCAGCTTTGAAAGCCCATAGAAAGCCATTGCTGTGGCCTTGGCCCTGGGGTGCCTGTTCGGGAAGTGGCCTTGGCCCTGGGGTGCCTGCTGGGGACGGTGTTTGGAGGGTTTGGAAGGTTTTGGAGGGTTTGGAGGGTTTGGAAAGTTTTGGAGGTTTGGAGCGTTTGCAGGCGGGCAAACGGCAGCTTGGAAAGCCCATAGAAAGCCATTGCTGTGGCCTTGGCCCTGGGGTGCCTGTTGGGGAAGTGGCCTTGGCCCTGGGGTGCCTGCTGGAAAAGGTGTTTGGAGGGTTTGGACGGTTTTGGAGAGCGCCCGGAGGGTTTGGAGGGTTTTGGAGTGGCCCTGGGGTGCCTGCTGGACAAGGTGTTTGGAGGGTTTGGACGGTTTTGGTGGAGGGTTTTGGAGGGTTTGGAGGGTTTGGAGGGTTTTGGAGGGTGTTTGGAGGGTTTGGAGGGTTTTGGAGCATTTGGATGGTTTTGGAGCGTTTGGAGTGTTTGCGGGCTGGCAAACGGCAGCTTTGAAAGCCAATAGAAAGCCATTGCTGTGGCCTTGGCCCTGGGGTGCTTGTTTGAGAAGTGGCCTTGGCCCTGGGGTGCCTGTTGGGGAAGGTGTTTGGAGGGTTTGGAGGGTTTTGGAGGGTTTGGATGGTTTTGGAGGGTGTTTGGATGGTTTGGAAGGTTTTGGAGGGTGTTTGGAGGGTTTGCAAAGTTTTGGAGCGTTCGCGGGCTGGCAAACGGCAGCTTTGAAAGCCAATAGAAAGCCATTGCTGTGGCCTTGGCCCTGGGGTGCCTGCTGGGGACGGTGTTTGGAGGGTTTGGAATGTTTTGGAGGGTTTGGAGGGTTTGGAAGGTTTTGGAAGGTTTGGAGCGTTTGCAAGCGGGCAAACGGCAGCTTTGAAAGCCCATAGAAAGCCATTGCTGTGGCCTTGGCCCTGGGGTGCCTGTTGGGGAAGTGGCCTTGGCCCTGGGGTGCCTGCTGGACAAGGTGTTTGGAGGGTTTGGACGGTTTTGGAGAGCGCCCAGAGGGTTTGGAGGGTTTTGGAGGGTTTGGAGGGTTTTGGAGGGTGGTCCGACAGGACAAGTTCCACACCTGCGGTGGTCCCAGGCGTCGCCCCGGCCTTGGCGAAGGCCGGGGTCGGCGGATAATTATATGTATAAAGCGGTATAAAGGACGACAGAGGGTTTTGAAAGTTGAAAGCTGCTCATTTGAGGGCTCAATATTCCAGATGGCAGATACTTTGGAACCTTACTGAAGTCTCTGAAGGCTCTTTTCGAGCAGCAGTAGAAATCCATGTTCGTGCGTTCTGGAGATTTTCTTGGTTTTGATTTGCCACTGCACGAAGAAAGCCCAGTCTAAGCAAGCAAGCTCGCATCACTTTCAAAATTTTCAAGTCTGACTCCCTGGCAAAAAATTGGCCGAAGCTTGTATGAGGAGAAGGGTGTCATGGTTTGCAACTGCCCTGCGCAGGGATCTCAATCAGTTGTTGGGTGCAGATCAACAAGCTCCTACACACACAGACACTGAGTCAAGCCCTTTGGTCAGACTGAGGTACAGCAGCGATGCCGTTGCACACCTGGTTCTTACGCTGATTCTGCAACTAGGCTGAAAGAGGTTGCTTTGTGAACCTGGAATCTGGTTCCAACTCTCATTTGTCATATTGTGCACTACATGCAACATACACTGCATTAATCTGCAACATTTATGATGGATGCCACGCGCATCTTGAAATCCGCACCGAAGCTCTGCGCTTGAAGCACGGGATGCGGGAAATTTGACACATGTAAATGCGTGCCATCCAGAGAAAGGAGTTTATTAAACAATCTGTCATCGTGGACGCCAAGGAATTTCTCTTGCTCCTTGGTCCCCCAGATGCGCATCTTGGCTCCGCAAAAGTCTGATGGGGAGTGAGCGGAAATCGAATCGCAATGGGATGTGATCATATTTTGTTTGAGGGTTGATATGGATTGATCGGCTCACCACACTTGTTTCCAGAATAGAGGCATGAATACAAGAAGCAACATAGCAACATAGTTTTTTGATGTTTCTTAGGCACATAGATAACAGATGCGTTGCTTCGAGGGTGGTCAGCAATTGTCAGAGGTGGCTCCTTGAGGACTTGAGGAGTGCCGTCGCCTTTGATCTGGTGATATCTGGTGAATATATTAGTATAATCTGGTATAATCGATGCTTAGTATATATTGCTGTAATATGCTGTAATAAGAATCAACATGCAGTACCTCTAATAATAAATACAATACACTATAATATAATATAATATAGTATAATATAACATAATATAACATAACATAATATAACATATTATAACATAATATGATATAATATATTATACATTATACATTATACATTATATATTATATATTATATATTATATATTATATATTATATATTATATATTATATATTATATTATACATTATGTATTATGTATTTTGTATTATATATTATATATTATATATTATGTATTATGTATTATGTATTATGTATTATATATTATATATTATGTATTATGTATTATATATTATATATTATATGTTATATGTTATATCTTCTATGTTATATGTTATACATTATACATTATATATTATATATTATATATTATATATTATATATTATATATTATATATTATATATTATATATTAATATATATATACATTATAATGATGGTGATACTCATGATATTGTAAACTTATCTCTGGTACTGATCAATTCTAATCACCAATTCGGTTTTTTTGTCTCTGTAAAGGCTCTTCCAACAGCCCTCCCGTTTGGAGGAATTACAAAAAACATTGCAGAAAATATCAAACCAAACACACCCAAATTAGATCGCAGCTTCCTCAGCTGGATGACCTGCCAGGTATGCTTCAGATGCTTGGATGTGCAGTAGTGTGCATTCATTATCTAAATGGTTTCAGCTGGTAGCACTTGCAACAAAGAGATTGGATACCTGGAGCAGAGTCACATTTTTGCAGCACTGAGTATGATTTGACATGCGCTTCTGTTCATGATGTTCATGTGAAGAAGCTCACATCAGTGGTTAGAGTACCAAGGAAAGGCAATCGGGACAACTTCACCAAATCGCTCCAGGCATCAACACACTGTGAACTGTTTGTTCATTTGCCAAGATCAGAATGTTCTTTTGATTCACCGTGCGCTGTCCTGGAGGTTCCCCATTTCGAACTTCAGGGAAAGGTTCTGGGACTGATTGGTGGCAGTGGTGGCATCGGCAGCAAGGCCGATCAGAAAAGAGAAGTTGTTGGCGACCGGCCTCTGATGATATCCCCAGATCATCCCAGATCAGGTGGCAGCTCTTGCAGAGGCGATTGGCATGAAGGTGGGGCTTGTTGATTTAAATGGCGGCAGGCGTGTTGAAATGGCTCTGGCAGAAAGTTTCTCAGAAAAATCGCAGTTGTTTTTCTTATTGGTTTATGATAGTTTCTGTATGCTTATGTACTTAGGTAGCCATCTTTGACCATCCATGCAGAGGCCTTGGAGCTAAAGGATATGTCTCCGTTCCGGGCCAGGTTGTCATTACAAGTCGAAGCCCAAAGCCCAATGCGCTACCTCTGGAGGAGCAGGGGACCCAACGGAGAGAAAGGATCTGATATTTCGGATGACCACATTTCCAGATTTGTGAAATGCAAGGTTTGGGAGACAAGTATCTTGTTACGACATGCACAATTGGTGGGAATGCCACTTGCACCACTGCCAGCATGGTCTGGGGGAGCAAAAACCCCCCCGAACCCTCCAGATCAGCTGCGAGATTTGGTGCATTTGATACACGAAGGAGCTGCTGCGGACAAGTCGATTGGCTGCACCCAGGAACTCTACGACTTGAACAAATCTGACATAGATGTAACTTGGACATACTTGGACTATCTACATGGCAGCTGTAGTGCACCAGGTGACTTCATCAGCTTGCACTGCCCTTTGAATGCGGACACCAAGCACTTGATCAACAAGGAGCATTGGTGCAAATCAGTCTCTTGAGGCAGTCAATGTTGGTACTTGGGGACCAAAACGGATCATCCTCTTCAGCTGAGTCTTGGAGGACACACTGAAGCTGATGAAGCCAACTGCTTACCTCATCAACACAGGCTCCGGGGTTTCAGTTGGGAGCAAGGTTTGATTGAGTCAACAGGTCGATGTTTTGCTTCCACACCATCATGCAACTCATGAAGTCCTCGTAAGTACAGATACATTATTATATACATATACATACATATACTGTATTAGTACAAATTCAGAGAGAGAGAGAGAGACGGCATTCTTGTGATTCTATGCCAATCTTACTCGACCCTCCCACACTGGTAGCAGAGGATTGGTCCAACCAATGGAAAACTGGATGTAGGCCACCTAGCCAAATGGAATCAGATCCTACTGATAGAAGATAATGTCAACCAAGTAGATGGTCCCACCACCAAGCCGCACAGCGAGGCCGCCAGGCCTATGGCACCTTTTGACCGTATGCACTCCCAAGTGCAAAAGTCCCGCCCACCTTCCCTAGCTTCGAGCAAGGGTGCCTACGGTGGGTTTCACTGCCATATAGTGTGGAAGCAATGCAAGGATCCGGGCAAGACATGTCAGTTTCACACTCCCCTAAAAGAATTATTGCATTGCTCCCCTAAAAGAATTATTGCCCTGGGATTTATCGGAAAGCCAGGACACGGCTAATCGGCGGTTGGCGTTCTGTCGCAGGATGGAAGACTCATCATACAGGCAAAAGATCCCTGTTTGGAGCACTAATCTTAACAGGGAAGGATCCATGGGTTTTGTCAGGGCATCGGCAAGCATGATGGTGGTTGGGATCCAGCGAAAAACACAGTTATCTTGACACTGCTCACGAATCAAAAGTACTTCAAGGGTGGTCCTATATTCTTCACATTGGGGCATGGCAGTGCGACTCACCAAGTCGTACAAGCTTCGGCAATCTGTGGTAATGATACCCATAGGCAATTGGGCATAGGCCTTTGACGGCATTTGCCACGGAAATTGGGGTATCACCATGACGCCCCACAGCAAACGCAGCAATCCCAAACGATCTACACTCCGAGACATGGAGTAGGCTTCAGCAGATAAAGTAGATCTTACAACTCGAGATATCTTTTTGGAGGACCAACTTAAAGGGGATAGGGGAGCATCAACATTTTCATGAAGCTTGGATGTGGTGGCACATATGAGGGTACCCTGAAAAGATGAAAGCTGCTTAGGACTTGCAAACGATGCATCACCAAAGGAAACATGAGTCAATTGATCGGGTGGAATACTGCGGAAATAGATTTGGACATCAGAGTGCTCTTGGGCTTCGCGGAGTACCTTATTACATGATAGTAATGTCTGAATAGTGGGATTAGCCATGTCAGTTTGGACTTCACCCAATTTGGAAGCGATGTCAGGGCGCGTATGAGTCACTGCATACTGTAGGCTTCCTACTAAACCACGAAGTTTTGTTTTTTCTGATTCGGTAGTTGGACTATTGGGTTGTTCACGACGAATCTTGGGAACATCTATGGCCATGATGCGATGGATGTAATCTGCCTGAGAAGCACGAATGCTGAAGTCGGGAAGTTGTTCAAGTTCAATACCTGTAAAGGTAAATTTGCGGTGCTTATGGCTTCCAAAAGGCAAGACTTTGGAAAGGGCAACAAGTTGTTGTTGGAAATATTGGTCCCCTCCGCCTACTCCATCATCCACATGAATACCTATGGCCCCATGAAGCTTGCGCTGGTTGCCACTGCCGGATTCCAGCAAAAACACACAGGGTTCCAGAGGATGAACTCTGAAATTCAAAGCTTTGAGTTGGTGAGTGAGTTCTTTGTAAAACAGCAGTGGAGCATCAACTCGGCCATAAGCATTACCTACTAAGGCACATACCTGCTCAGGGGACATTCGAAGTTTTTGTCGAAGTTCCACAGGTGGCTCCATAGCTAAGGGATTCTTCTCATCCGCTTTGCCTCTCAAGAAGGCCGTTTTGATATCGAAGCTGGTCAATTCCCACTGTTGGGAAGAAATTAGTTGGAGGATGGTATTCTGTCCTTCTTTGGTCAAAGTGGGACTGTCGCGGGCCACTGAAGTTAGTTGGGGATCTTGATAGCCTAACACTACTAGGCGAGCTTTCGCCTTTTTGTGGGAAGGCTTGTCTTGATCAGCTTCAACGTTTTTCCAGGTTAATACCCAACGTGACTTCAAGATTTGTTCGGGATTAAGGGATTTTCGGAGAATAGGTCTTAAGGCATTTGTGGAAATCCAACATGAAAGTTCATTGTCCTTGGCAATATCGAACAGCTTTCGATCGCTATCGGAGAGGTATTTCACTTGAACCTCCGATCTTGCACGTTGACTAGCCGCAGCTATACAAGCCATGTCTGACGGATTGGATTCTTGGCTCCACGCTGTCAGGTCTGCCGACTTTAAGGGAATGTCAAGGACAAAACATTCTTCAGTGCTGCAATCAAGAGGATTGTCAATGAACGGCATCCCGTCTTCAGCTAAACACACAGTTTCTGTTGGACATCCTGCAGAATAGAAAGTGTCGAACATCATGAGTTCATCTTGATCTGCATTTGAGGAATTGCTCTGTTCGAAAATATTGGTGGCTTGGAGTAGGAAACTCTCTTCGGGGTTATCTTCATTAGGGGGGTTATCATCATTATCGGATTCTGCAGTTGGAGTGGTCTCGCCTGATCCTACAGTAGGTGGATGGGATGCTTCTCCTTCAGGTTGTTCGTCAGGTGGAACAGGCTGTTGAGGGTCCGGTGCAAGACTTGGTGAATATTCATCATTCACGGCATCATTTTCTTGAGATTCATCTGGGACTATTTGTGGAACAGGCATATTTTGCGGCAGATCTCGGACTTCCGGCAGGTGGTCGCTCCACGTATTCCACTCACGGAGTGATGCAGGTCGAATGTTCTCTGGAGGGCGGCGAATCAAACGGTTGGCATGGGACAACCACACAATTGAATTTCCTTCTTGAACAATGACTCGAGCTGGACCATGCCAGCGTCCTACATCACTTCGATTGGGAATGCTTCGTTTCGTCCAGTACAACACAAGTTGTCCAGGTTGAAAAGGACCTCGCATTGGTCGGGATTGTCTCAAGGTTGCTCTTCGAATGGCTTCTGCATTGTCTGAAAGGATAAAAGCTTGGCGAGCCCGTGTTCGTCTTTCTAAAAGGGTGCGGAACCTTTCGCTTTCAAGGTCACTACCTAAAGCCAATGAGTGAGCAACCGTTGATTCGTCTGATGTCAGGGATCCCGGCAAGTCTGTGGCCTTTCCTAAAACAAACTGCTCAGGTGAATAACCATGGTTCTTAGAGAGAGCATTCTTGGCCTGGCAACATAAACTCAGGATTTCATCAAATTGGCCTATGTTTTCGATCCTTTGATCCGTGTCAAAACGATGGAGCATATCTTTGAGGATTGATCCATGACGTTCAATTCTACCTCGCTGCCAGGCATCCGCAGACATGAAAACACTGGTGTTGATTGTTTGAAGATAATCTAACCATCTATCTGCCCTGAATTCGCCTGCGGGATCAAGGTACATATGTCGAGGAGCTCCGGCCCATGTTAGCCACAGATTCTGAAATGCCGGTATGGCATGATCCAAATTGCGGCCATCAAGACGTTTGGCAAGGTGAAAACCCGAGGCCTCATCATATATGTGCAACACATAACACTGAAAGTTGCCCTTCCCTTTCCAGAAAAATCCATCAATACCCAATACATCATTGAACTCTCTTGGCGGATGGAGCTTTGCAGGTCGTTGATGGTGTGGCTTCTGGGTTTCAACACATGCATCGCATACAAAATCCTGGGCAGCACGGATGATATGCTCGGTGGCACCTTGTGCTTTCAAGTGCGCTGACAAAACCATTGGGTCAGGATGACCAAGGTTCTTATGCAGTTTCACCAATTGCTGTTTCTCATCACTTGCCAACGCACGAAAACAGGGGCCATGCAACGGAGTTGGTGGTGGAGCCCACCCTTCACATACGGTCTTCGGATCAGGAACCTTTGCAAAAGAATCAACTGCTGGCACTCGAGAGTTGGTATCACTTGGAACCATGGGATCTTCGGCATTCGGTGAAGATGGCTCATCATGGCTTTCAGCTTCTTTGTAGTTACCGAAAACGGTCAGTGTCAAACGGCTGGGAATGGTCTTGGTGACTCTTTGAGCTCGGGTTAACGCATGCCAATTCCGAATGCCTAGGTCACGTAATGTGCCATCTCTACGGTGGACGCAAAGGGTCTGACACCATGGGGATTCGTGTGACGGTGGAGCAGACACAGGAACCTGAAAACGATCTGTACCTCGACAAATAAAAACACATCTGACTTTGAAATTATCATCCACAAGTTGTTGCACAAGTTCTCCAAGATCACTGTCGGCTTCATATTTGTGATTTCCAACTCGAGGAGCTAGTCGATTGGCCATCCGACACGCTTCATGCCAAAGGGATTCACTCGCAACAATGGTGCCATCGACAGGGGCATTTGGTTGATCCCCAATCGCATCAGCGGGAACAGAGGAGCTCACTCTGCGTCGTTTACCGTTTTCCGGATCAAAACGAAACCTCTTGGTTGGTGGTTCATCTTCATGAACAAAACTAGTTTGACACATGTTTGAGTGGTCCTCACACAAAAGCTTGGCACATGTCTCGGCGAATCCATGACAGTAAGTGGCACAGAAGCTTGACACAGGGATGGTTTTCCATCATGGTGCACGGAACCAGCAATCTGGGTGTGTACATGGTTGCCCGGACAATCATGGTTGGCAAGCTGACGCAGCATCACATCTGACGTCGTCCATAGCTGGCTACGTTTACGGATAAACTTTGATGTTTTGGGCAACTTGAGTCCGAAAGCACACATGTCAAAACATACTCGGTTGGTTTGTTGTTCGATGGGTCTAAACTCATTAGTGGATATCATAGACGATCCAACAGGCTGTTCAAGGTGGAAGTGCCTATTTCTTTTCGTTTGATAGGTACACAGTTGAGCACACAGCTGGATGTGAACCCTTTCGGCAGCTTGTCTTGCATGAACATGATCCCAGAGTCTCACGCTTCTCTGGGCATTGAACCTATTCCAGCCACTCCAAGGCCCACATTCTGGTGCAACAAAAATATGGTCAGGTTCAATTCTGTCAATCAAACTCCACAAGGTTCGTCGGCCTGCTGGAGTTGACAAGTCACCATCGCGTTTGGTGAACCTGTAGGCATCCACACCCAGCGCACGCAGACTTTCGGTGATTGGACTTGTCTCACCAGCATACACTTCTAGGACAACCAATCTTTTCTTAGGGATGGCACTTGAAGGAGCGGATGTATAGATTTCATCTATCACATTTTGAGCCTGTTCAAGGGATTTCTCAATAGACCGTTGGTGTTGATTGGCAATTCTTTGAGGGGCAAATCGAGAGCATTCAATACGACAAGACTCAATCATGTCTGCTAAATTGGCATCGAGACTCAGGCAAGCCGGCGCACATTCAGAAGCATGGCACGATCCTGTGCCGCATCGTTCTCCAATTGGGCTCTGCAGAAGTCCACGAAATCTTGCTGATGAGGAGGAAGAGAGCGGTACCGCGACAGACTCCATTCGAAGTAGCCCATGTCCTCGCTCAGCACCTGAAAATACGTGCGCCCCGGGTGCTTCTTGCCCCACGTGATCTTCCTTTGGCCCCATTCTGCCAGTGTGAGGCGCGTCGGAGCTTCGGCCGGAGAGGATGGCATTGGCATTGGCACGTTCTCGAGGGCTGGTGGTTGGGCTGCCGCACGGCTGGAGGCTGCGCGCTGCTTCTTCTCGGGACTCTTCAGATTCTTGGGAATGGCCCACAGAAAAGGCGTCGTCGATCTCCTCCTCGTCGCTCAGGGTTGCTTGCAATGGCATTGACAGTTGTTCCAAAGGCAAGCTTGAGATCTGAGGCGGGGTCATGATCCCCGGGCTTGTCACTCGATTCTGGCTCTCCGCCAATCTTTGCAGTAGGGCACGTTGGCGCATCATCTCTTGGCACATTGATTGAAGCTGACTTGTCAGCAGGGGCATCTGTTCCTCTTCTTCCGGACGATGGCTGTCCTTGTCTTCGATCATGTTCATGGAAACCTGCAGAACCAAGGTCAATGTGCCCATGATGATGTTGGCCGTCTCCTTGAGGATGTTGATGGCAGCTTCGCGGCTCGAAGACATGCTGGTCAACACAGGAGTCGAGAGTCACACACGGGGCTGGCAAATTGCTGGAATGCGATGGCTTCGCAAGTGTCTTTTGCATGATAAACGGTCGTGTCTGTACAGCTTGGATAGCAGTCTTGGAAATCATTGTCTCCCTATGACATGATGTGTTAACCCCCACATGACTGGCACTCCCAATGAAAACTTCACGACTTACATTATCCTTGCTGTTTTCATGAGTCGGTGATTGGCAAAACTCAGCCATGTCGATGAGGTACAAACCGGTGGCATTGGTGCTCAAATGCATCGTCTTTTGCAGACGGGTCAAAGTGCATCTGTCTTGGTTGGTGTCTAAAATGCCTCCCAACTGCTTGAAGGCACGCTTGGAAAATAAAAACGGCGTCCTACCATTGACAACTTCTACACCTAGCCAGACCTTTTCACCTGATGAATGGCTCAAGGGCAACAAAACTTTGTACATGCTGGTCAGCGTTTGGTTGTTTCCAAAACGAAACTTGATCTGGCTGGGTCGCTGCTGCACGTGAGACTTGACATCACTTGGCAGGCGCTGCAAAAGGCAACTCAGGGTCTGTGATCCGATGATGCATCGGCTGGCACCGGTATCTAGTATGGCATGGGCACATTGCTCCTCGCTAGCTTGCAGGACAGGCATTTCAGGCAGAAACTCACAGGCAGTCTCATTGGTCCTAGCAAGCGAGGAGTTCAGGGGACTTGTGCTGGTCACGGCATGCTGAAACGGCTTACACTCTGTGGAAACAGAGGGCAAAAACTGTTGAGCTTGTCTCGATGGTCTCCGGATGCATTGCATAACCCTGGACATGTGCT